TCTTTTTCCTCATGGATCAAGCGGATCAATCATCCAGCCCTTACTATCTACACCCGAGTGAATCTTCCAATCCATCCAGCCCTTACTATCTACACCCAGGAAAGAACCCGGGTCTCACACTCATCACACAACTTTTGAACGAGAACAACTACTCTTCTTGGAGCAGAAGCATGAGGAGAGCTTTGCTTTCCAAGAATAAGGTAAAATTCATTGATGGGTCCATAAAGAAACCCCAGAAAAGCGACATTCTTTTTTATGAATTGGAGAGATGCAATATGATGATCTTATCTTGGATAACAAAAACTCTTTCCCCATAAATTGCTGAAAGTGTTATATACGTTGAAGAGGCAAAAGAATTATGGGATGAGCTGAAAGAAAGATTTTCCAAAGGTGATTATTTGAAGATTTCTGACTTACTTCAGGACATACATTCCATTAAGCAAGAAGAAAGAGGAGCGAGTCAGTTCTTCAAAGATTTAAAGATCCTATGGGAAGAGTTGGAATTCCTAAGACCCATACCCACCTGCACGTGTAAGATACCATGCAGTTGTGATCTTTCAAGAACCTTCTTGAAATACAGAGAGATGGAGCACGTGATATGCTTTCTAAAGGGATTAAATGACTCTTACAACACTATTAGAACACAGATTCTTTTAATGGATCCCCTTCCAAATATCAATCGGGTTTTCTCTCTTATTATGCAACAAGAGAGACAAGAGAAACATGGCTCTGCTGATGTCAAAATTCTGGCCAATACTGCTGACAGAAACAGTCAGTGGAAAGGCCAAGGACGGGGCTCTGGGTTTCGTGGTCAAGGAAGAGGAAGAGGCAGAAATCCTAACTATGGTAAACAATATTCATATTGCAACAAGATGAACCACACTATAGATGAGTGCTATTCTAAGCACGGGTACCCACCTTGGTACAAGAAAGGAGACAACAATCAAGATAAAAGGAATGACTGGAGTTCTGCCAATGCTTGCCAGAACAACACTATTCAGAACACACAACTTACAAATAACATCAATGTTTTTAATTCTATCACTGCGAAACATATGCAAAAGCTTCTCTGAATGATAGACAAAGTTGATGAGCCAACTCACAAAGTCAATCAAGTTCAAAGGAATGACACTGAGAATAAACAAGGTAATTTTTCCTGGATAATAGACACTGGTGCCACAGATCATGTGACATATGATAAAACAAACTTTATTACTTTCTATTAAATTAAACCTATCTCTATTAGATTACCAAACAATACTGCACTCACTGCTAAGCATGCAGGAACTGTGCAATTTTCTAAAAGCTTTGTCATTTTCAATGTTCTATATATTCCTGAGTTTTGTTTCAATTTAATCTCAGTTCAAAGTCTCATTAAGGACTTGAATTGCAGTCTGACTTTCTCTTCTAAGACTTGTCAGATAAAGGAGAACCATACATTGAAGATGATTGGATGTGCTAACTCTTGGAAAGGGCTCTATTATCTTCAAGCTTTTCGTAAACCTGATCAAAGATACATTTCAAAGACTGCTTTTTCTTTTAAGAATGTTGATGTAAACCTGTGGCACTATATATTAGGCCATCCAAGGGACAAGGTTATAAAACAAATATGCGAGAATTTTCCCTATGTTAGATTAGGTACTAACACTGTTTGTGACACATGCCATTATGCTAAACAATGAAAATTGCCTTTTCTAAAAAGTGCTTCTGTTACTGCTGAATGTTTTGAAATTGTGCACTATGATATATGGGGCCCTCTTAACACCATTTCGGTTCATGGTCATAAGTATTTTCTCACCATAGTATATGACTATAGTANCATTAAGGACTTGAATTGCAGTCTGACTTTCTCTTCTAAGACTTGTCAGATAAAGGAGAACCATACATTGAAGATGATTGGATGTGCTAACTCTTGGAAAGGGCTCTATTATCTTCAAGCTTTTCGTAAACCTGATCAAAGATACATTTCAAAGACTGCTTTTTCTTTTAAGAATGTTGATGTAAACCTGTGGCACTATATATTAGGCCATCCAAGGGACAAGGTTATAAAACAAATATGCGAGAATTTTCCCTATGTTAGATTAGGTACTAACACTGTTTGTGACACATGCCATTATGCTAAACAATGAAAATTGCCTTTTCTAAAAAGTGCTTCTGTTACTGCTGAATGTTTTGAAATTGTGCACTATGATATATGGGGCCCTCTTAACACCATTTCGGTTCATGGTCATAAGTATTTTCTCACCATAGTATATGACTATAGTAGACATACATGGATTTTTCTTATGAATAATAAGGGTCAAATCAGAGATTTACTACAGAATTTTGTTACTAAAATTAAAAATCAATTCAACAAGGTAATTAAGACTATTAGATCTGATAATGGCCCTGAATTTAAGTGTGTGGATTTCTATAAATTGCATGGCATCAATCATCAAAGGAGTTGTGTTGAGACTCCTGAGCATAATTCTGTTGTTGAAAGAAAACATCAACGCATACTAAATGTGACTCATGGTCTCCTTTTTCAAGTTAATATCCCTAATGCTTACTGGTCTTATGTTGTTGGACATGCTATTTATCTTATAAATAGGCTGCCTACTCCCATTCTCAATAAGAAAACTCCTCATGATCTTCTCTATAACTTGCCCCCTACCTATTTAAACCTCAAAACCTTTGGATGTTTGTGTTTTGCCTCGACTCTTTAACATAATAAAAGTAAACTTAACCCAAGAGCTAGAAAAGGAATTTGTCTAGGATACAAAACTGGCGTGAAAGGTTACATTGTGCTTGACATAAATACCAAGGAACTCCTTATAAGCATAAATGTTGTCTTCCATGAAGACATTTTTCCTTACAAAAATCAGCAAGGTAACAGTGAAAATTCTGATAATGAAGAGGACAAAGCCGATTCACTCAGTGACCTTCTAAGAGATCACTATCACACTGATGATGGCATAAATGCCGAATTGGATGTTGCTGACCAAGAAGACGCACAACAACCCTCTGATAATGGAGGCAACAGTGCCAATGTAGGAGACAGTCAAGAGATTCAAGGGCACAGAAGATCTGACAGACCCAGAAAGACTCCTGAGTACCTAAAAGATTATGTTCATCAGGTCAATCAATCCTTGTCTGTAAAGAATGATTTTAAAACCCCATACCCGATTTCTAATATATTGTGTTGTGATAACTTTTCAGAAAAAACATCTAAGGTACACCATGACAGTCACTGGAAATAAGGAACCTAGATCTTACAATGAGGCAAAAGGCATGAATGAATGGGTAGAGGCCATGCAGAGAGAGATCAAGGCTCTGCAAGACAATGACACATGGGTTCTAACTCAGCTTCCTCCAGGAAAAACTGCTATAGGATGTAAGTGGGTGTATAAAACGAAATACAAAGCTGATGGTAGCATTGAAAGGTTCAAAGCCCATCTGGTGGCGAAAGGTTACACACAGCAGGAGGGAATAGACTATCTTGACACCTTTTCCCCTGTGGCTAAACTGACCACGATTAGGTTACTCATTGCTCTAGCTGCTTCAAACAATTGGTTTCTACACCAACTTGATGTAGATAATGCTTTCCTACACGGAGATCTTAATGAAGAGGTGTATATGGAACCACCTCCAGGTCCGAATAACCACAATGAAGGGCAGGTTTGCAGGTTAACAAAATCCTTATATGGCTTGAAACAAGCCAGTAGGCAGTGGTTTGAAAAATTATCTTCCTTCCTGCTATCTGCCAACTATATTCAATCTAAGTCTGATCACTCCTTGTTCACTAGAAAAACCCTCTACAAGTTTTACTGCTCTACTTGTATATGTGGATGATATTGTGTTAACAGGAAACTCTATGGTGGAAATCAATTGCATAAAGGAACTCCTACACAAGAGATTTCGAATAAAGAACCTTGGAGAACTCAAATACTTCCTAGGATTGGAAGTGGCCAGGTCAATAAGAGGTATCCATCTATGTCAAAGGAAATATGCTTTGGACATACTGGAGGAGACAAGGATGTTGGGATGTAAACCTTCCTCTACTCCCTTCCTAAGCGACACAACCTCATTGTACAAAATGGACAGCTACCTGGATGATCCAGGCCCATACAAAAGGCTAATAGAGAAGTTACTCTATCTTACAAATACAAGACCCGATCTATGTTTTTCAGTTAATTTACTTAGTCAGTTCATGCAATCACCCACTGACTATCATTATCGTGTCATTCAGCACATTCTTAGGTACATTAAATCCAAGCCCTCTGAAGGGTTATTTTTCGTTGCTGACTCTCCTATGCAACTAAAAGCTTTTAGTGACTCTGACTGGGCCACATGTCCCAACACTAGAAGATCCACAACAGGGTTCTGTGTGTTTCTCGGATCCTCTCTCATTTGCTGGAAATCTAAGAAGCAGAAAACTGTTTCCAGATCCTCCACCGAAACTGAGTACAGAGCCCTTGCTGCCACTGTATGTGAGATACAGTGGCTCTGCTATCTCCTACAGGACCTTCAAATTGAAGAATCAGGGATCCCAACCTTGTATTGCGACAACAAGTCTGCAAGGCACATAGCCCATAACCAGAGCTTTCACGAACGCACCAAGCATATTGAGCTTGATTGTCATGTTGTTCGTGAGAAAGTTCAAGAACACCTTCTATACTAGTTTAATATATATATATGATAAATTGATATTATTTAAAACTTTTTAAAAATTATAATTATTATTTATATAAATAGATTCCTAGGTGTGATGGTCCGACATACTAACTAAATTGGTTCAAAATTAATGAACTTCGTCTTCATGAATGTATAATTTTCCAATTTTTTTAATAGTTTACATGCAGGGTATGTATCGGTCAAATAATTCATCTAGCATTTTCCCAGATTGAATCAGGCAAGCCAGATGGTTCTTCAAAACGACACAGTGAACAGAGCACAACACTGAACAGAGAATCAGCTCAGAGCCATAGAAGAAAACAAGAATGAGCAGCGGCGCTGGGCAAGTGGCGTGCGTAACCGGCGCTTCCGGTTACATTGCTTCCTGGATCGTCAAATTTCTTCTCCATCGTGGTTACACTGTTAAGGCCACTGTTCGCGACCCAAGTATGCGTTATTTTTTCCTTTTATAATTTGTTGTTTTCGTGGGTGACGATTTTTCGTTACGGTTGTGGTGACAGTGATGCATTTTTCATGTTGAAAATTAAATATTGGATCATATGTGATGTGCAGATGATCCCAAAAAGATAAATCACTTGCTTAAGCTTGATGGNATATATATATATGATAAATTGATATTATTTAAAACTTTTTAAAAATTATAATTATTATTTATATAAATAGATTCCTAGGTGTGATGGTCCGACATACTAACTAAATTGGTTCAAAATTAATGAACTTCTTCTTCATGAATGTATAATTTTCCAATTTTTTTAATAGTTTACATGCAGGGTATGTATCGGTCAAATAATTCATCTAGCATTTTCCCAGATTGAATCAGGCAAGCCAGATGGTTCTTCAAAACGACACAGTGAACAGAGCACAACACTGAACAGAGAATCAGCTCAGAGCCATAGAAGAAAACAAGAATGAGCAGCGGCGCTGGGCAAGTGGCGTGCGTAACCGGCGCTTCCGGTTACATTGCTTCCTGGATCGTCAAATTTCTTCTCCATCGTGGTTACACTGTTAAGGCCACTGTTCGCGACCCAAGTATGCGTTATTTTTTCCTTTTATAATTTGTTGTTTTCGTGGGTGACGATTTTTCGTTACGGTTGTGGTGACAGTGATGCATTTTTCATGTTGAAAATTAAATATTGGATCATATGTGATGTGCAGATGATCCCAAAAAGATAAATCACTTGCTTAAGCTTGATGGTGCCAAGGAGAGATTGCATCTTTGCAAGGCGAATCTTCTAGAAGAAGGTTCATTTGACTCGGTCGTTCAAGGTTGTCACGCTGTGTTTCACACTGCTTCTCCCTTTTATCACGATGTCAAGGATCCGCAGGTTTGTTTCATTTGCAATTCGATTTTTGCATTTTTTATTTATCTAGGCTGTCTGATATATTGTGTTTCTTTTATCCATTTCAGGTTGAATTGTTGGACCCCGCAGTGAAGGGGACTCTCAATGTTCTGAAATCGTGCGTGAAATCGCCAGCATTGAAACGCGTCGTTTTAACCTCTTCTATCGCTGCTGTTGCGTACAACGGAAAGCCTCGAACTCCTGATGTAGTGGTTGACGAAACATGGTTTTCCGATCCAGATTTCTGTAGGGAGTCACAGGTATGTGCCGTTACTAGCAACCAATTGATGGTTGCTTTCTTTTATTGTTTGCTTTTATCCTTGTATAAATTCTTGGCTCTCCAGCACTTGAAACTTCATAGACAGTTGCTCAATTAAGAATGGGATCATAAAAGGCCAATTCATTTTCCATCTTCATTGTCATTATCGTCATCCACTTGACCCACTAACCACTCATTGAACTAATCAATGTCATTTGAGTGTAATAAGGTCAATTTCATCCCTAATATTGCATCTATGAGCATGTTGTTGATTATATTTGATATAATCCAAATCATGCAATTTTTTATCGTCAAGCCTATTCCTCTTTTTTTTTTTTTTCCTTTTTTTAATGAATTTGCATTCTGAATAAATAAAATGTTAATTAGTTTCTTCCTACTGTCTACAAAAATGTTAATAATGAAATGAGCTATAAACAATAATAGTTAAATGTTCAAATACACTCCAGTTGTGCACCGATTAGCTACATGACAAGCTTAAAATATTGATTGCGCTAGCTTTTACAAGTTTGGAGTTGTGCAACCACAATTCTTCCACCATTGAGCTATAAAAGCAAGAAGTAAATTAAAATTTAAATGTTATATCTTAAAAGTTACTATGGTTACAATAGCTTTTATGAATATATTTAAGTGTCTCACTAGGAGTTGTGGTCTTCGTACTGTTTACAAGAAATTTAATAATGAAATGAGCTATTGTTTGTTAAATGTTCAAATACACTCCAGATGCTCCGATGAGCTATATGTCAAGCTTAAAATATTGATTGCTAGCTTTTACAAGATTGGAGTTGTGCAACCACAATTCTTCCACCATTGAGCAATAAAAACAAAGAGAGCAACTTAAAATATGAATGTTATAACTTAAAAGTTACTATGCTTACAATAGCTTTTACGAATATATTTAAGTTTCCACTAGGAGTTGTGGTCTTCCTACTGTTTACAAAAAAGTTAATAATGAAATGAGCTATTGTTTGTTAATGTTCAAATACACTTCAGATGCTACGATGCTACAAATCATTCAAAGAAACCATTCATAGAAAAATCAAACGAAATATCTCACAAGGACAACAACCAAGTATTGAGATTATTCACTTCTGATGCATAGTTGCACTACTGAACTAACCTATTTTAAATGCTTCTCTCATTATGTACATATGTCATGACAACTTAATAGTTGTAATATTAAATGCATTAGACAATTGCTACTCAACTGTAATACTTATTTTTATTCAAATGTTGACAAAGTGTTATAATTTGTCATGTATGTTATGTTATCATGTTCTTCACATTTCTTGCTATTTTCTATTTATGTTTCAGATGTGGTATACACTTTCAAAGACTTTGGCTGAAGATGCTGCCTGGAAATTTGTAAAAGAAAACAACATTGACATGGTTACAATTAACCCAGCAATGGTTGTTGGACCTCTCTTGCAACCAGTCCTTAATACCAGTGCTGCTTCAATTTTAAATGTAGTTAATGGTAATTACTATTTATATATTATGCTGAAAAAATTATAGATTTGCTTTGTCTGCATTTTATTGTACAATGTATTTTGGGCTTTAGATATATTGTGACCTTTATGGATGAATTTGCCATTATATTTGGGTTTATTTTAATGTAAAGATAGATTTGAAATTTTTTCCATATTTATGTCTTGATTTAATGAGATTAAGAACCAATTTGAAAAAATAATTAAAGTCTTTCAAAGTGACAATGCTAAAATGTATTTTGTTGTTGAACTTTCTTCCATTTTATCCTGACAAGGTATTTCACATTAGTCTACTTGTGTCTACACACTACAACAAAATAGAATTGCAGAGAAAGAATGCACATCTCAATGAAACGACATGCTCTCTAATGTTGAATACAAATGTTCTTTTACACCATTGGGGAGATGCAACAGACTAGGAGAACAAGGGCAGAAACATGCCTTGAAAAACATTGACTAGACAAATGACGATGGTCTACTGTAATGTCAACACTAAGAAGGTGATATGTGGAACACAATTGCCTAGTGAGGAGCCAAGGATGATCGGTGCGTGGCAACACATCAGGGA